GTACCCATCATCACCCAACTTTAACCTTACCTTTTGGTTCTAATTCAATCCTATGTTTTTAAAAGAAGTAAAACATTAAAAGTGGAGCCGAAGCCCCCTCCCAAAGTTCATCCCTCCTGGAAGTCAGCTATGGTCCATCCTCCTTGCTCTTTATCATTCCTGTGCATGACTTTACAGCCTTGTATGTTCCAGGCAGACACCACAACATACAGCGCAGGCAAACGGCCAGCCTGCGTGCTAACGTTCTGCTCGGTTTTGTTCCACACCTTGCTCTGTGAGCTCACCGCTGTGCTTTGGATGCATGTGGCCCCGTCCTGACATTCTCGCTGCTGTTTATAGCACACAGTGTATTATATAAGTATGCCACAATCTGGAGACCAAGTCTTCTGGTGATAGACACTATTTCCAGTTTTTTGCTCCCTCAGACAAGGCCTCAGTACATGTCCCCAGAAGCAAAGCATTGCCAGGGTGAAGGACCTTCCCCTGACTCCCAAGTGCAGGACCCTAAATCAAAGGCTCTGCCCTAGAGTATCTCTTTGCCTTGTGTTCTTTTTGGTTGTTGTTCTTTGTTTTCCTTCAAGTTCTGCAAACTGAGAAGTCCAAGATCACAATGCCAGTAGGTTCTGTGTCCAATGAGTCAGCTTCCTGGTTCATAGAAGGCCTCTCTTCCCTGTGTTTTCACATGGCAAGAGCTGCCTTGTGTTCTTGCTGCACCAAGCTCATGCGTCAAACCAATCACATGTCTGGAACAGTCTACCTCTTTCTTTGCCACTCTTACTCTTCCTGACTTACCTGGATGTTTCCTGTTCATGTCTGGTGTCTACCTGAAATGATACTCTACCAGGAGGTCTCTCTGATCCTGAGGCCACAGCTGTATGCTTCCCCCATCTGACTCCCATCAAGACATCGTGCCCTGTACTTACTTCTATTTAATGACCATCTTCTCTATGGGTGTGAGCTCCAACAAGGCAGGGCCACCTTTGCCCATTCACTGCCATATTCCCAAAGGCCTAACTCCATAGACTTAGGGAATGAGTGAAAGAATGGGTGGAATGACACATCTTCATTTATTCTTTTCATCAGCACTTTTTTTCTAACTTTATATTGAAGTATATCTTACAAGAATTTTGGCAACCAAGATATAGAATAATTTCATCTTCCCCCAGAATCCCCTCATGCCCCTTTGTAGTCAAGTCCTGCCCCTCACCCCTAACAACCACTGATCTGTTTTCTGTCCCTATAGTTTTACCTTTTCCAGAATGTCATCTCAGTGGTATCATATATGATGTAGCCTTTGAGTCTACCACCAGCATCTCAGTCTTGGGCCAGGTATTGTGGAACAAATAGTAATAAGTCATGAGGTGATTTGTGTTGAATGTAAGGGACCTTTATATAAACAAATACATTTAATAACTGCTCTTTTTCTTAACATCAAATTTAGATTGTGTTTCATAGCAACAACTCTGTGGCAGGCTAGTTCCTCAGTACAATGCTTTCTGCATTTTTCAGTCACAGAAACCTGGGTGTTCCAAGAAGTGAAGAATCCAATTCAAGTTAACCTAGCTGGCTCGTAGAGGTAGCTTCCATCCCCAAGTTCAGTGTGTTAATGCCAAGCCCAGGATTCCTCGTTTTTCTTCTTAATTATTTTTAAGCACATGTTGGGAAGTAAAGCCTTATTCTTTAAAAAAAAAAATTATTGTTTTGTAAAGAAAAAAAGTAGAATTTCTTCTTTTCTGTTAAGTTAGGTTTCTTGTCTGTGGTGATGGTGAGTCAGACGAGCAAACACCAGTCTTCCCCAGACCCAGGAGCCTGGCCACCTTGCCAGGGGCTGTGGGAGCTCATTAAAGAGTTTGGTTTTGTAGTGCCGTCCTGCCTCAGGAGCTGTGTGCTTACTAGAAATAGCTTTCTAAAGAATGACTCTTCCTTCCCGTGATGCTCTGGCGTGTGGATTCCTTGGTATCTCCAATGGATGTTTGCTGTTTTAATCTGTCTGTGCCTATCCAAAAATGCGGCCCAGACTCTGCTTTCTGTGGCCTGCACCGGCGTCTGTGGGCACGTGTATCTGCCGGTGAGTCATTGTCCCCTAAAAAGCTCACTCGGCTTCAAGTTGTCTGTTACATTTTAGACACAGACTCAGAATGGAGGTGCAGACACAAGATGGCCCGGTACATTTCAAGGCCCACGTGAGGTTTTGATCTTGGGCGTTTGCCTTTGTCTGTAGCCGCGAGCCGGTCACATGTGGTGAGTGCTCTGTTCTCCTAAGGGTTCTTTATGGCAAAAAAATGCATGTGAACAGCTTGCAGAGAAGCCTCGGAGAGGGGAATGCACCACCACTTGAGTTATTCAGGGAGCTCTGCCTCAACCCACGCTCAGAACAAAACGGGGGAGAGCACTAGGGCAGTGGCACCATGCTGTTTGTTAGCCAGGCAGCCATGGTTTTGACCTTGCTGTGGGTTAAAGGACACAAACCTGAGAAGAAATCTGTTTATCATGTGGGGAATTCATGCCATCCTTGACAGTATACAGTGAGCAAGATGGATGATCTGCCAAATTGGTCCCTCGCATGGGTGAATCGGGGCAAATTTACAGTACAATTCCTTTGCTGCTTCAGATACAAAAATAACATTTGCTGGGTTTTATATCCAGTTGTCTGATGACCTGGAGGTGAGCAGAGAGAAGAAATCCGATTTGTAGGATTCATATTGCCTTAAAGATTTATATGGACCATTTCTGCCGTTATGTCTGCCTCTTTTACATCTTTCATAAGCCAGTGTTGTTGTTTTTTAACCTGATTTTCCAGGTTGAGGACATAGGTTTATGCGCTGGTAGAATTCCGTACCATTCTAGGACAATAAACGGGTTTGTTGGTTGAATTGCAGTTGTTTTATTTGGGATTTTATCTTTCTAAGTATTTATACAAATATCCCTTGTATTTAGAATACATTTACTATTTTCTTGGGTTCAAACTAGGTTGTTATCCTGTATATAGTATGTCTATCAAAGGATTCTCCAGTTATATGATCAACTGTAATTTATTTATTACTTAGTGTTACATTTTGTTTAGTAAGGTAGCGAGTATTTGGGGGGCACCTATATGTGCTGACGTTCACTGAGTGCTGATGTTCATCTCTCTGAGGCCATAGCACCCACATGACAATGCCCGGCCTTCCCCATCCAACATGGCTCCATGGGGTCTCACCATGTGCCATGCTCCGTGGGGTGGGGGAAGAGAAAGCGCCAAAACATGGAGCTAAAGGCAGATTTTACCTTGTGGATAAGACAGCAATGCAATGTTGCTTTGTATTTGCCACCTGGACACAGTCTTTCTCTATATTTGAAAACTAGAGGCCCAGTGCATAAAAACTCATCCACTGGATGGCGGGGGGGGGGGGGGGGGGGGGGGCCTCAGCCCAGCCAGACCCCTCTCACAATCCAAGAGCCCTCAGGGATGGGAGGCAACCCTGTGATCAGGGGAAGGCAATGCCCCCATCACACCTCTGCTGCTGCCATTGCCAGCAGCACAAGCCTCAGCCTGCCCTGGTTACCTGAGCCTCAGCTTGCCTGCACCTCAGGCGTTGGCTGCGCAGCCACCATCCATGGCTTGCCTGCACTTCGGGCTGGCCCTGGGGGGTGAGGGGATTGGAGGACACCAGAGGTAGGCACATGGAGCTGCCGGACCTGTCTGGGGGCGGGCCCGGCTATGCCACAAGTGTGCCACTCTGGTGGGGCTGAGGGGACTAGGCGCCACCATCTTTAAGGATGCGGCAGTCAATTAGCATATTCCCTCCTTATTGGCTATGGGCACCACCATCTTAGTGAGAGCATGATGCTTAATTAGCATATTCCCTCTTTATTAGATAGGTTTAGGAAATGGCCAAACCTTTTATTCCAGACATCGAGAATAGACGCCTGGTTTAATGGGTGATTCTAACAGAGAAGCCAGAAGGGACCACCCTCCACAGAGCATGAGTTGACACTCCCTACTGGGCACATGCAAAAACAAGATAGAGGTCCTCTTCAAGAAAGGCACGCATGACCCCATCTTTCCTGGTATGCGTTGTCAATGTGGCACAAAGCTTGGTTTTCAGAAATACCTCCGATGGTTTGACAGGAAACGGCAGGGGAGACTGCTCCTCTTCTGTCATTTCTCTCCAGTCTGGGTGCCTGGAGCCTTCTGGGATTATAGTGAGAACAGCCTTGGTTCCTGAGACTCAGCCCTGGGCTGCCAAGTGCCAGCTAGGGCTTTAGGTCTCCTTATCGAGGGTCATCACTGTGGTGGCCACACACCGTGGCAGCCCTTGTTTAAAATAATACATCCATTTGATTTGTTCCGAAAATTATGGACAAAATTAGTATGTGAATCACAATCTAGGTAAAGTACTTCTGAATTACAGAATTACTAGAGGCATGTGCCCTGACTAGGAATCAAACCATAACCTCCTGGTTCATAGATCGACGCTCAACCACTGAGCCACACCAGTGGGGCAATATGACTTTTTTTTTTTTTTAACAGATTGGCCCTTGTACTGAGTCATCAGAAACCTTTTATTTAAACCTATTGCTGTTCTTCTATTGCTGTTATTCTTTTTAAATATGTGTTTATTGATTTTAGAGAGATGGGAAAGAAGAGGGAGAGAGAAAGAAATACCCATGAGAGAGAAACATCAATTAGCATCTTCCTGCACAATCCTTACTGGGTATTGAGCCTGTAACCCAGGCAAGTGCCCTGGTCAGGCATTGAACCGGCAACCTCTTGGTGCAGAGGACGAAGCTCAACCAGCTGAGCCATACTGACCGGGCTAATTTTTTTTTTTTATACCAAAAATGAGTGGTTACTCTCAGTCAAAAAAAACTATAAGACAATTAAAGTAGATTCATAGACTGCCATGCTGTATCCTTCTTATACAAGGCATTCACTTACTGTCCTGGGTAAGGAAAGTAGATGTACATGGTGAAAGATGGAGGTTTCAGCCTCAAATTTCTGTGTGCTTTAATTACAGAAAGCACACCAAAGACGTCTGCCAGCTGCAGCCCTGCACCAGAATCACCAATGAGCTCGAGTGAATCGGTGAAGAGTTTGACTGAACTGGTCCAGCAGCCCTGTCCCCCCATTGAAACAAGCAAGGATGGCAAACCGCCAGAACCCAGCGACCCGCCTGCTTCCGACTCCCAGCCCACCACCCCACTGCCTCTCTCTGGACACTCGGCCCTCAGCATTCAAGAGTTGGTAGCCATGTCTCCAGAGCTGGACACCTACGGTATAACCAAGAGGGTCAAGGAGGTGCTGACTGACAACAACCTTGGTAAGTTCTCTCCGGAGCTGCTATTCCAGAGGTGGCAGGTCGCTTCCTGTGGAGTTTGTAGGTCCCAGGGGCCTCCGGCTGAGCCAGCCAGAGGTTTTAACTGTTTACAAAGCGTCCCTCTGTTGTGAACACTTAAGGGGCTCATAAGGGTGCTAGAGGTCTCCAGGTCGATCCCAGCTGTGCCCACTCTGGGACCTCTTAAAAGATAGGCATTTAGGGTTGCAGCCTACTCAGACCGCCCACTCCAACCACTCTGACTGCAGCGTGCCCAGTAGGGCCCTGAACCCTGTGGGCACAGAGCTGGGCAGGATCAGCATCAGCCCAGCAGCATCCGGATGGCACAGTGGAAGGGTCTGGCAGACTGGATTCAAACCCCAACTCTCCTTACTGTCTGTGTTACTGAGCAAGCTACTCTCTGAGGCTCCTCAATAAAACTGGAACAACACCGCCTGCCATGGGCTATGAGTAGCAGCCTTGCTAGCACTGCCTGGCATTCCTCTGCCTCATGAAGCTGCTTCCATTCCGCAGCCCCTTCCCCCACTCCTCTGGTGCTCTGTTTGAGGGCTCTCACTGAGGGCTTATGGCACCACTCATCAAATGGCTGCAGCTAGAATATTAGGTGTTCAGTCGTTTCAAAACACTGTGCTCCTGCAGGATAGTATTGGACCAAGTGGGCTTCTAGTTTAGGCATCCAGAGAATGGAATCGGCCACTCCCAAACACATAGCCTTATTACCCGGGAGTAAAGTCAATTAAAAGAGCATTGTTTTCAGACAAAATTTCCGGTTACTATGTCGTATATGAAAATTAATACCCTTTAATTTTTAAATGTTTTTAACCAAGATTTACTTATAATTAAATTATGAGGTTAAAAAAAAAAAAGCCTTGTTCTCTTCCGTGCATGTTAAAATGACACCAGAGAGTTTTTGGAATTTGCCCAGTTCCTTCAGGAGGGACCTGTGTATCTGTTTTCCCCAGGGGACAGGAAAAGAAGGGAGTAGCAGTGAAGTGCGTTCCAGGAAAGTTTGCACAGTGACCTCACAGCCTGGGGATGAGGCCAGCTTGTCTGCTTGAAGCCTTCCACTTAACTGCTTGTGCAAAACAGCACAAGAGAAAAGCAATATCCGCTGAGAACGTTTTTAATTAATTCATTAAAATAAAGACTTAGCTGTTGACTTTAAAATGGCTAATTCCCCTATGACCATCAATTAGTAAAATGTGCAGGGATCCCTAGACTTGTCATCCCCTACCTTACAGTCTTATGACACATCCAAGGAAGTAGACCTGATATAGTATTGCTGTTCCTTCCCTTATAGGAAGTATCATTTTATATAAATGTTGAAAATCAGCTGAAGAAAACTCTCCTTTTCTAAACTGATAAGTTGCAAGATCACAGTTATGAGATTTTGATCCTTAAAATCTCATCCTAATCCTTACCATTCATGTCCCCATCGGCGATGGAGTCGTAGCGATGATGTTCATGTGCAGACATAGCAGAAACCCACTGGTTTCTGGAACTTTGTTTCAAATACCGTGAAGCACGAATCGGTACTCTGAGCGGTGAGACTTTTGACTCCAGACAGATAACTTATGCCTCTGAGCAGGAACGCCAAAAGGCTCCATAGCAGTGTCACCCTGCTCTCAAAGGTCTCAGCTTCTCCAGGAAAGGTGCTGCCTCAGCTATGGGCATCTCTCAGTGGATTAATGAACACAGAGGGGGCCAAATTCCAGCGGAATTAGACAGCACAGATGGCCCTTAATTGAGACTCAACTAAGGCAGTGTCTTAATCTTTGGTCTTAATCTTTGGGATCTTGGGGTATTTGTGCATCAATCTCTTGAAATCATGCAGAATAGGTACGTGCACATTTCATCAGGTGAAGGTCTGTAGCTTTCTTCAGGTTCTTAAATAGATCTGGGATCCAAAATGATTGGGAGTCACTACTGTGAAACCTCTATAGAGGTAATACAGACCATTTTCTCAGACTAGTCGCTTGATTTTCCTCCCATACAACTAGGTGGATCAGCAAATAGCAAATAGCTGTTTATGTAGGTCACTTTCCTGAACATAGTAAGCTTCTTAGAACATAATAAGATCCATCTGCCAAATTAGAATGAGGTAAAACTTAAACAACCACAACAAAAAATGGCTAAAAACTTGGTAGGCTAAACTAAGAATTTGAAAAGCAGAGAAGCCACAAGTTTACAGAGTCAGTAAATGCCTCTGCCATTTCTCACAGCTGCCCCGTGAGCACAGTGACAGTGCTTCCCTGTCACAGACAGAGGACGTGAGGGACGGGAGCAGTAGCCAGGCATCCACAGTCACCCCCAGGAATTGTGTTCCGTGCACTTCATGATACCAAACACTGGCCTCTCTGAGCCCAGTCTCCACTTCTTCCTCATATGTCCTGTTCATTGAAGTTGTTCAGGATGTGCCTGGTTCTCGTTTGTACCTTTAAAAGTGGTGGCCCCTCTTAACCTGCAGCTTAATGGCCCTCACAGCGTTCTCCAGAGCGATGTGCCCTCTGAGAAGCCTGGGAGCAGGCTGCCCACCACGGCCCTGGGGAAGCGGCGTCACGAAAAGGCGCCTTGAGCTCCAGTGGGCAGAGGCAGCTTAGACTGCAGGAATGGGCTTTCGGATTGGAAACGGCCTGCTTTTCAGAAAAGCATAGCTGAGGAGCTCTTTCTCCTTCTCTTTCCTGCTGTGACTCTGGGTCAAGTGGCCCGTTTTCTCAGCAAGACCTGATAACCTTGAAAATCATGAAAGGAGCTGGTGCAGGCAGCCCTATGGTTTGAGGTTGGACAAGAGCGATCTCCCTGTGCGCTACTTAGCCTCCTGAGCTCAGGTTCGGGACTAACCACCTCAGATAAATGCAGCAGGTGTTACTGTCCAGGCCTCAGTTCACCCAGAGCCGGAAGCCCTGACAGAGACCTTGTGGTGTAAGCAGAATGCAGGAGTGGAACTGAGGAGCTTGTCACAAGCCTGGCTGAGGAAATGCATTGCAGAGTGCTTGCTCCGAGCCGGGACCCAGCTGGCCAGACTTTGGGCCTTTAAACCCCATGTCTGATTACAACCTCGACACGTACTTCCAAGACCCGAGGTCTCAATGATGACATTTCTCTTGGTTCTATTTTCTCTTCAGGTCAGCGCTTATTCGGGGAGACCATCTTAGGGCTCACCCAAGGCTCTGTCTCCGACCTCCTCGCTCGCCCGAAGCCCTGGCACAAGCTCAGCCTGAAGGGCCGGGAGCCCTTTGTCCGCATGCAGCTCTGGCTGAATGACCCCAACAACGTGGAGAAGCTGATGGACATGAAACGGATGGAAAAGAAAGGTAACTGCCCAGCCGGTTGCTTTCGCATTTCTAAGCGTGCTGTTTCTTTTAAAGCCTTAAGCAGAGCTGATGAGGAACATGGATCTATAACCAAGGGGCTATGAGGCAGGGCAAAGGATTTTTTACCATCATCCACCAAGGATGGGAAGATTTGTGTCATTTTCTACATGGCAGCCTAAACTCAAGGGCATTTTAGCACCAGGGAGCATTTTGACCATTCCTGATGGTCACCCTGGTGGTCAGTGTATCCTTTTTCTTCCTTCGGGAGAGTAAGGCCACCAAGAAGTGTGTGCCACAGTGCTTCGTGGTGGCTTGTGTTTGTTGTCTTTTGTCTTGTTTGGTGAGTGCAGTATTACATTTATTGCACATGCACCACATGCCAGGGACTTCCATATATTATCTTATTGGAGAGAGCGTTAATCCATGCTTTTGTAGATAAATACACTCAGGTTCAAAGAAGTTAGGTGCCTGGAAAATGGCAGAGCAAATTCCTGCCAGACAGCACTCCTGCTCTGAGGCGCCGAGGGGCCTGTGGAGGCCGCGGCCTCCTGGAGGGCTCTGTGCAGCACTTCCTCCAGCTCAGGGTTCACATTCTCCTTGTTCGCTGGAGGCTACACCATGGGATAAATCCTAAAGGATTTCCTTGGTGATGGGAAGTTATGCCTATTCCATCTCATGGTTTGCACTCCTACATGCTGCTTCTCATTAGTGAGTCCTCCCTTCAGAGGGGACAGTCCTGGGTCACTGACCTGCAGTATGAGCTCACTCGGTGGCTGAATTCAAATCCCTTAGATATGGAGATCCGGTGCAGCTGCTGGCCTGGCCATAAGAAGCTGTGACCGCCCTCCTTAAGTTAGCCTTTGCTGAGAAGCTCATCCAGAGAGTAGGCATGACAACCACCAATGTGGCTGTCCCTGGCCCCAACCCCAGCTCATCTGAGCCCAGGTTTATATCCTATGAATTCACCAAGGAGGCTGCTGTTCACCACCAGCCCAGCATCACCGTCTCATCCCTCCAGGGAAGGACTGGAGCTCCAGAGAGGAGCGAGTCTCTGATGCCTCCCCCAGGAGCTCGTGGGGCTGGCTGTTGTATCACATAGACTCCAGTTCCTGAGCACCTATTTGCCAGGCACTTAATCCACACAGCTCCATCCCATATAGATGGTGTCATCCAGAAAGATGAGTCTCTGGAATCATGAAACTCACATGATTTCAAGAGCTGGTATAAGTAAGGAGCAGGAATCCAAACTCATTCAAAGCTGCTGCTTTCAGCTGTATGCTCTCTACCTTGAGCTGAGTGCCGCCCCACTGGGACTGTATGCCCAGGCGGCCCTCCACCCCACAGGGGGGCCCCTCCAGTGGGCTCCTGCCCACCCTCGGGTGTGTAGACCACGGCTCTGACACAGGCCACATACTCGCAGGCAGCTCTAGACCAGGGTTGTCAACCTTTCAGACCTCAAGGACCATCAGCGGTCCACAGACACCAGTTTACAATCACTGCTCTAGACAGTGCTACCACCTCACCACCCAAGTTTTTAAAATTTATTTAAATTACAGGAAATTTCAAATACAAAAACAGAGAATGATACCATGAATCCAATATATCCATTACCAAGTTTCAGCAATTATCAGTGCTCATCCAAGCAATTTAAAATTTCCTGCCCTCAGGAAATACACTCCTTGATGTATTTCTCCTCCTGGGCCAGTGGAAGAGGGCCTTAGCCCCCGGAAATAAATATGGGGGGCGGAGGGAGGGTCCTTCAATTCCTTTCAACATGGGCTCTGGGCGCCATCTTGTGTTACAAAAGAGTTTCTGTTTCAGTGGGGCCCCTCCTCACCTCCCAAGATCCCTGAGCGCTGCAAGCCCCACTGTCTGCTCTCCCTAGTAGAGATGCTCACTAGATAAACCTTCACCAGCCCCAGTGGGAGACCAAGGCACCTGTTCCATCAGTACTTCCTGTGATTTCCATAGACTGCTTGTCACCCACCCAACAGAATGGGGCTGGTGGGACAGATTCGGCTCATTTCTTTCTGGCCTCTTAACTCTATCATATTAATGGGGGTGAGGAAGTGAGGAAAAGAGATTGGCCTTCTCAGTTGTTTCCTAATTCTAATCATAAATGGCAAGTTAAGTAGCCTAAGTTTCTCGGCATCTGTTAAATAAGGGTAAAAATGTTAACCTTTTCAGGTGTGAGGATTAAAAAAGAATGTACCCAGTATAATAAGCAGCACACATAAGTGCTCAGTAAGTGATAGTTACTAAGTATTCCTTCAAAATCAATGAAAATAAGTTGTGCTACCAGGCTAGCCTAGGTAAAAAGTCTGCACCAGGTAACCACACTAGGATTAACATGGACACTATGCTTCCTTCTCTTTGATAAAGCCCTTCTCCCTTTACACAAATCCTTTATTGCTCTTTCTTCCTTCTAAACCTTTCTCTACTCCAGTCTGCCTTCTGCTTTTTGTTACCTTCATGAGATGGCCCTTCTCCCAACACAGTCACAGCACCTAGACACACACATATATGCAGCCTCTGCCAGCTCATGGATGAGACTTCTCTCCCTGGAGGCCACAGATGCACCGTGACAGTCCATACTCTACTTCTGTGGCTCCCATGGACACAACCTCGGACCCTGCTCCCATGCTGTGGCCAGACGCAGCCACCATTGGGCAGGGCAGCCAGTGCTGCCCAGAACAGTCATCAGTTCTGTCACTTCCTACCTGTGTGACCTCAGCCTCTCTAAGCTTCAGTTTCTTCCTCTGTACAAAGGGGTGATAATTAAATATTTCTCATCTTCCATCAGTTTTAAGACGTTTCAAAGACTTTTCAGACCGTATTTCAAACTAGTTCACTAGAAAGATCACTATGGAGGATTCATTTTCTCAAGAAGCTTAGTAGTTAGTGACGAATAACAATCAGAGAATGAAGCACAGACAGCACTAATAAAACCCTGAGAACCTAAAAACCAGGGATCACCTTCCACTATCTCAGTCCATTTGGCACATCCCCAAGTGACTGTCACACTCTTAAGTCCCTGAGCCTTACAGCCAGCCACTCCGCACTGCTCCTCCTAAGCCGTATCCCACAGCAAAACAAACATCTGCATATGTACTCCCCTCATTTCCAGCTCCTGTGCCATTCTCCTCTCTTCCAGGGCAGGCCACATCTATGTCAGCCACTTCTCCACTCCTGGGTTGGCTCCTCCCTCCTCAAAGCTCATTCCAGCAGGCTTTAAGTCCCCTTCTCATCATCATCTACCAGCTTCCTGCTCACTCGCTATGCTTCCTCAAGACAGTGGCCCGGGATCACTGTCTTCCTCCATGTTCGCATCCTACCTCGCCCAGGGAGATTTTCTGACCCATCGGACCCATACATCACTTGGCCCTGATGTTTTTTGACCTCCTCAACCTTTGACTGTTCCTCAAATTTTGTTATCACCCATTACTCTATCTCTCAAAATCTAAATTCAGGTGTCACACTCACTGACCACATGCAACCTTCCTTCCATCTTTCCATGTTTCTCTGTTCATTCCACCTTACCCAAGATGGCCCCCAGACATCCTCTGCCCATCTCTCCAGCCTTATGTCTGACAGCTCCTCCTACATGACTGCCCCTTTTGCGTGCACACACACACACACACACACACAACACACTTTAACCATGCTGTTGTGTAACTCTGGGTCTCTGCTCATGTTCTTCCCACTTTATGAGCAGACTCCTACTTAATCCTTTGTCCTTCAAGATTCAGTTAAACATCATCTCCGGGGAAGCCTTCCCTGACCTCTCCCCAGGCTGACCTGAGTTACGTTCCCTCGGTGCCTTCCACTAAACTAGTCATACAGGGACCGACAGGAACCTCCCGTTATAACAGAGCAGGTCCTTGATGAATGTGTTAGGTTTCAGAATGGTTCTAGTTCAAGTGTTTTGAGATGTTCTTGTGAGAGGAGAGCAGATCAACCTGATGCCACAACCCACACAAAAGTAATCTCAATCAACCCTGGCCAGGTGGCTCAGTTGGTTGGAATGTCATCCTGTACACCAAAGGGTGGCAGGTTCTATTCCTGGTCAGGGCACATATGTAGGTTGCAGGTTTGATTCCCAGTTGGGACACATAGGAGAGGCAACTGATCCATGTTTCTCTCTCATGTCAATGTTTCTCTCTCACTCTATCCCCCTTCTTCTCTAAAATCAATAAAAACATATCCTCTAGTAAGGATTTTTAAAAAGTGATCTCAATCCAATTGTATACCATGTACTGTACTATGAGGGTCAGGGGCTTGGGCAGATGTCACATCTGGGCCTGCCCTCATTCTGACTTCTCTCCCTTCCCCAGCGTACATGAAGCGGCGGCACAGCTCAGTCAGCGACAGCCAGCCCTGCGAGCCACCCTCCGTTGGCATTGACTACAGCCAAGGCGCAAGCCCCCAGCCCCAGCACCAGCTGAAGAAACCCCGTGTGGTGCTGGCTCCTGAAGAGAAAGAAGCTCTGAAACGAGCATATCAGCAAAAGCCATACCCGTCACCAAAAACCATCGAAGAACTCGCCACCCAGCTCAACTTGAAAACCAGCACTGTCATCAACTGGTTCCACAATTACAGGTACGATCCGACTCTCAGCCCAGGAAATCATGGCTCCGGGAGAACACGCTTCCAGCCCTTGGGCAGATCTGTCCCACAGCGTGGCCATTAATGGCACACAAGGAGGATCCTCAGTGTGCCCCCTAGCCTACTGGGGTCTCAGAACTTGGTTAGTTCTCAGTAATTTAGCCAGTTAGGTGGTTTTTTATGTTTACTGGCATTCTTAACTCCAAAGATATAGGGTCATATAGTTACAAACAGTCCACACCCATGACAAGGAAAAAATTTCCTCTAATATGTATCACTTAATACGGGAAAGCGTAGGCATTCATGGTTCGATAGTAATGAATGTTCTTAAGTGATTTTTGCATGCTTTCTCTGGGTCATTTATGGTATTGTTTTCCAAATCAGTTTGATTGGTTTTGTAATTAAATTCAGTTGTGTAAAACCCTTTTTGAGGAGAAAGTTCATGAGTTAATGAAGATTCACTGAGCATCTACTAGACTTCCAGACACTGAGCCAACACTGTATCTCTCTATCCTCATAACTATATGATGGATATAGTATTGTCTGCATTTTACATGAAAAATATAAAACCAGAGCAAGAAAAGGCTAAGTGATCTCCTTTAAGAGCAAAGTAAACTGAGGTGACGTTTGATTAGATAGTGGAAATTCACTGAAAGATACGAGTTGTTGATCATAGCTGTAACAAGACTTCTTACTGCTGGAAACCAAGAATTTCCCGTGGCCTGGTGGAAACTACTGCTGTTTTCATTTCTTATAAGGGGCCATCTCAATTGTAAGTTCCATCAGAACTTCATTTTCTATAGGGCTCAATAAAACTAGGGCCAGTACTCCTATGCAGCTACTGTGGGCAGGGCTCTCACAGTTATCTCAAACAAGTGGCAGGCAAGAGATCATAGCCAGTCAAGGGCTAGAGGGAGGAGTTGTCTCTCTAACTGGGCCCTGTATCTGATAGGTTCTGCTGGAGTTTCCGAAGGAGCCTAATAAACCTCCCAGCTTCTGAATAAATTGGAAATTTTTTAAATTTAAGATGGGAGCCAAAATAGCATCTTTATTTCTGATAAAGGCTAAGTTAACAGATGTAGCTTAGTGTGAGAGCTGAATAGACCTGCTACCTCAGTGGTCGGCAAACTGTGGCTCGCAAGCTGCAGTTTGCCGCTCTGTTGCCTAATGAGTTTGCTGACCACTGCATAAGGCATTACCCTTACCCAGAAATTTTGACTTCAGGTTAAAGGCATTAGTACATTATTAAAATGCCTTTTAAGTGTTTTTTCCCTAAGGCAGTGATCGGCAAACTCATTAGACAACAGAGTGGCAAACTACGGCTTGCTAGCCACATGTGGCTCTCGAGCCACAGTTTGCCGACCACTGTGCTACCTGATCCCTAGAACCTTATCCACAGAGATTCATACAAGGACTGGCACACAGTAGTACTCATGGCAGCACTGGATCCAGGCTAGCTCCAACAAGGACAAAGAATTTATAGGAACTGAGTACAAACAGCTTAATCATAACTCTGGACAGCAGTGCATGAAGCTATAGATTACTGAGTATCTAGTAAAAGGTGCTACTAATGACAGAATATCTTCAAAACCATTTTCCCTGGTCCTATTGGGGCCACCTTTTCTCCAGATCTTGTTCAGGCCTCAGCTAAGTGTCAATCACTGCCTCCTGGACAGAGCACACACTCTCCAGCTTTCTCAGCTGTCATCACTCAACTTTCTGGTCTCCTGACCTCCATGGTGGTCAGCTGGTCATTGTGGAGATGCAAATTCAATTATACACCCTGGATAAAAATAGAGGAGAGAGGAAGAATAGCAATAACACCTCATGACTTAATAAATGAGCTCAGTTCTGGATCTAAAGTAGATGCTTCATAAATGCTTTCTTTCAAAAACAACTCCATATCAAAACAGGCAGAGCTATGGAGAGCAAAGGGCAGAGAATAGCTTTTAGCTCCAGAGATCTGGAAAAATATCTGGGAGGTATGAGGTATACAGGGTCATGAAAGAAGAACAAGAATGTTATAAGCCATAAAATAGGCCACCTTACCACAGGGCTTCACACAAGGACTTGCACACAGTAATACTCAGCACACTTCACTGAATGTGTTTAATTCCTAAGTGAGAAAGCAGTTTCTTACATTCTTTCTGTGGGAGTTAAATAGCAGCATTGATTTTATTTTCTGCTGCCCCCCCGGGAACCTTCAGGGAATACTGCTTGGATCAGTTTTTGCCCCCATCCAAAAAATAAAACTTTACTTCCTCTTACCCTTTCACCCTAAGGAAATGAGAAGTATCTTAGAGTGACCATTTACCTAGGAATTCGACCAGGATTGCCAGAACAGCATACCACAGAATGCCTGGTCTCCTGGAAGAGCAGGTCCACCCAGTAAAAACTCTTTCAAACCTAAAAGCCATGGTGGCCTTTGAACCTTGCATGACACACCTGACAGCCAGATCTGTTCCTGGGACTTGGTCTTGCTAGACCAGAAGACAATCTTCCTCTTAGACATGGAGACAATTCTAGGCCAAGAAGGATGATGTCTTATATCTGTTGAGCACAGAATATAGGGTGGGGCAATGATAAGTTTACAGTTGTTTGTGGGAAATAATACAGTAATTAATAAATAGTACAAATATAAACTTTGTTTCATGTATTAATATTCACAATTGTAAACCTACTTTTGCCCCACCCTGTATATGCCAAACACTGAGCCAAGAGCTTTATAAGTGTTACCTTATTAGACCCTCCAATCAGCAGTTGAGTGTAGTGCTGCCAGCCCCGTTTTACAGAGAAAGGTTATACACACTGAGCTGGTGAGGATGGCAGCCTGGAACCCATGCCCCCAGGCATGAAGCTGCCCCTGCCCTCCCCTAGCCCATCTACCTTAGCCTTAGCACGTTCACATCTTCACATCAAGCTCAAAAAGGTTAAGGAAATTATCTAAGTTACATGGGTAGGAAGTGACAAAGCCAGATTTTAAACCTAGGATTGTCAGTTCTAAAAAGCCTTTGCCCTGTGCTGGGCCAGCCTGCCCCTGAGACTCAGAGTTAGCATTTGGGCCTGTGACCTGGCTAGACTGAACCTTTAGCTGCCCTCCTAGCCTCCCACCTCCCCAACAGGGAGGGTAGGATTAGGTGTTCGCCCCAACTAGCATTTTCAGCTGCCAACAGGCTTTAAAGCCAGCAGGGCGGTTTGCCCTCCCAGCACAGTGCCCAGGAACCTGTTGATAGGAACTGCCATTTCTCAGGCTCCCACAGAAGCCCCAGAGAAGGAGCAAAGTCTTCTGTGCCCCCTGGGAAGACTTCAGGACCTCACCCTATACCTCACGCTCAGAAATCGTCTTCAGAACAAGAGTCAGAGCTCACCCTCTGCTGGGAACAAATAATTATGTAGCGGATAGCGCTGACTACAGCCAGATTTTCCTTGGCTCCAACACTTCCCACATCCAACAAAGGACCTGACATATACTGAGGTCTCAAAAACATTACCTTTATTGAATTATATTTACTGCAGAAAATATTTTCCTGCATTCTTCATCCAAGGGCTTTCTGCAGGACACTGGACTTGGTCATTTACCTGAAGATCCTTTTCCACTAACACTGGCTTTTTCAGCTCTTTGGAATACACTCCTAGAGAGACTTCTGATTGAGCCTAGTGCCATCAGCATGATGGGAGGAGAACATCTGGCACACAAAGGCTTACTAAGAGCCCTTCATGGTGTCTCCAAGGCCTTGGAAACAGAGACGACCAGGGCCCGTTATTTCCTTCAGACTCAACGTGCTGGAGCACATTCCCCACTGTCAGCTGCACAATTAAAACATGCTTGAGGCACATCTTTGGGCTCCTTCATGCTTGATCAAAGTGACCCTTCCCTGGTCTTCTCCTTTCAGAGGAGGAAATTAGTTGAAACATAATTTGATGGAATCCCACTTAAGCCTTGACCAGAGCCCCTGACCTGTGGCTCAGAGAAAGGTTATGGATGCTGACGGTTTCACTCTGGGCATTGTCTCATAATTGGTTCATTCTCTCTCTCTTGGCCCTGAAGTCCTGTATGTCCATTTATTCCTGTAGACCAGTAGGCACCATGCTAGGCCTAGGGTGTGCAGAGTAAATGGGAACTGGCCATTCCCCGCTGAGTTAGGGGTGGGGTGGGATGGAGCTGGAGATGCCATTAGATAAGTAACATTGGCGCTCCAGACTGGCAATGCCACCACGGGTTAGGACAGCTTATGCCAGGCACAGAGTTTGGGAAACAAGTGAGGGCTCTGCTCAGGCTCCAGGCCAGGCCAGGGGTCGGCAGTGACTGGCCACCGGGCAGCTGAGGAGCCCAGGCTCTGCCCTGCCCGTGGAGGGCCTTTGGGGCCACAGGGTGACGTGTGGGGATGCGGAGAGCAGGGGGGCGGGTGGAGGGCCGGAGGGCCGTGTCCGCCTGTGCACAGCAGCTCACGGCGCCCTCCCTGCTTGTGTCTCGTAGGTCTCGGATCCGCAGAGAACTGTTCATTGAGGAGATCCAGGCCGGGAGCCAGGGCCAGGCCGGGGCGAGCGACTCCCCGTCGGCCCGCAGCAGCCGGCCGGCGCCCAGCTCCGAGGGCGACAGCTGTGACGGCGTGGAGGCCGCCGAGGGCCGGGGCGCCGCGGACGCGGAGGAGTCAGGCGGCCCCGCGGCCGCCACCAAGTCTCAGGGAGGGCCCGCCGAGGCCGCCGCCGCGGAGGAGCGCGGAGAGGAGGCGCCGCGGCCCGCGGAGAAGCCGGAGCCGCCGCCCTCGGGGACCCAGGCCCCGCAGGACACCGACGAGGGCCGCCCCCGGGCACCACCGCCGCCCGAAGGCCCCTTGGACGGCCCGCGGCCCGTGCCAAACCCCGCGGCCGCCGGGGAGGACGCCGCTACCTCAGCCGCCCCGGGGGAGCGCCCCGCCCGGGCCCGGGACGCCGCCCCCAGTTCCGCTTTGCCAAGCACCAGCGCGCCGGCCGCCCGCAGGCCCAGCTCGCTGCAGAGCCTCTTCGGCCTCCCCGAGGCGGCGGGCAGGGACTCGCGAGACAACCCCTTGAGGAAGAAGAAGGCCGCGAACTTGAACAGCATCATCCACCGCCTGGAGAAGGCCGCCAGCCGCGAGGAGCCCATCGAATGGGAGTTCTGAGGCGCTGCCGCCCGCCGCCCGCCGCCCCCTGGCGGCCGCCGCTGGGAGCCGGGGCGGGCGGGCGGGGCGGGTACTGAGGCAGCGCCACCCCGCGGCCCGGACCGTGTAGCGCACTTACTGCCCTGCGGGCCACAGGGCAAAATCGCCATAGGCCAAGGTGCATATAGAAAACAAAGGAGCATTAAGCCCAATCTTTGTCGTGTTTTCAAGGAAGAAAACGGAAATGTGTAGTCGAGCTTTTTTGTACCCTGAAGTGTTTTTTTTATTGCCCTAAGTGATTTCCACAGGTTCTGGAATAACTCTTACAGCTTTGCCTTGCGCCCTCCTCTTTCGTGTGGGCTTTAAAAAAAAAAAAAAATCAAACCCACATATTAAAAGGGGGCTTTTTATCTGCCATCTAATGGCTTCAGAGCGATAATACACTATTATCTTCTTAAACCAGGAAAGGGGGAGGGGGGATTTTTCAGAAAAATTAAAAAAGAAAGTTTTTGTAGCTGTTCAGTTGCCACTAAGAGATTGCACAGTCAAACCGACTCTAAACACACTAGTTTGGATTCCTAAATATTTTCAAGTAAAGAATCTTCTCGTTTGAAACTTTGAATTAAAATAAAACACATTTACTCCATATTTTTTAACAAAAAGAAAAGTCACATCAGGAAAATAACTGATTTTGTGGTAGCTGATATAGTGTTTTCTTGTACGTGAATAGAATCCTGACATGTAGTGCACATTGATCCATAGCTTTAACTGACTCTGGGCTTTTGCTGGCCAGGGTCTGTTTAATACACTCCATTCTAGGCCAAATCAGGACAAAAAGAAAAGATCCGAATCTAGGTATTTTATAATCTGCTTTTTAACCTCTAACCGCAGAGCACGCTGATCAGACCTCATATCTCGGAGGTTTAGGAGACAAGTTAGAACTGTAGCATGTACCCGTTCATTTCGTTTAATTTATGGTGTCTACGTCTGTGTTAGTGCGTCTGCACATACGTGAGCATTTAAAGAAAGGAGGAAAGAGTAGGCCACTAAGGTTCTGGGGCCGAACGGCCCACCCCTCGTAGACAGCAGTCTTTCCTTGGCACAGAAGGCACCACACCTCACACCACTCTCCCAGGCGCCTGATGGACTGAGCCCCACCAGGGGACGCCGCTCCCTGGGCCTGGGCCTGGGCAGGGCTCTCGCGCACTCTCTCTCTCTCTCTCCCTTCCTTCCCACCACAAGCACTGATGACTGTTGAAGTCGTGGGAAGCTTCCTTCCCTGCAGAAGAGAGAACGTAGCAATCTGGGCTCTGCTCCCAACCCCGTAGAGATGGCCCAAACTGACACCAAAACGTAGATGCTCTTCACTTCCAGACCAGACCGTTGACCCTCCATTCATTTTGCCTCTTGGAGCGTTCTTTTACGCAGTCTTTTACTTAGTCTTTTAGGGCAGTCTAAGTACAAATCAAAAGTCTAACTTGTCTCTGATTCCTCCTGTTGTCTATGTGTATATGCGTGAGAATAGAGGTGGATGAGAGTGTGCGTGTGTGCGTGTGTGCAATTTTATACGTCTGTGTATTTTCTTAAGTACCTGTGCACACATAGAGTGCATTACTGCCACCTTTTTTCAATAAGCTGTTTTATCAGTTATGGCTTCTACAAGTTTGCTAATTTAGACTCCTTTATTGCCATATCTTTAAACTAACAATAGATGATTTCGGTATATATATATTTTTTTTGCTTATTTATAGGTGCTGTATTTTATTATCTGATTGTTAGGAAGGGATGAAAGGGGCAAATATTCTTTAGAGGGATAGACTGCCGGCAGTATTGGGTATAATTTACAAGATGTAGTTGTCATACTGTATATTACTGATTGAAAACTTTTTGACCGTATTGTGTATCATTGAAACCTTTGTCTTAGGTCAACATCTTTGGATGACATTTTAATGGTGCATTCATTATTTCTTAAGTTTAATTAATATTATCTTTTTTTGATTTGGGGGTGGGAGGGAGTTATAATTTTAGAGGTATGCTCCCGCTATTACACCTCAGTGTGCTTGTATTAATTAACTTGTAGGACTTTGACTGTAAGATGTGAAACCACATTTCTTGCATGATGTTTTAGAAATTATATATTTCATTTACAGTCTTTTAACCTGCAGCTGCAGCACTTAGTTCAAGTTTTCACAAATTTAAGAGTCACTACACTAAAGACAATGCCTTTTCATGAATAAGAAGTTTTCAGAAGGCTCTAGGAGGCTGTGAGGCAGGCCATTTGTCTTTTGATAGTTGCATCATTTCTGAACTTGAAATCTGGTTCAGTGAGAAGAGAATTCAAAATGGAGGAGCTTAAGGGGAAACAGATTAACATCTGGCTCAATTCAGGTGCATTAAGAAGAGCACATTTGCATTAGTGACCCTTAGGACAGTGAGTAGTAGAGCCCTGACAGTACTGTGGTGTCCTCTCCACAAAAACCTTGAGGGAATTTTGTCATCATGTGATGTGTGATGAATCACTAAATATCTGATTTTCATCAGAATCAAAAGCAGGGAGCTAACAGGAAATATTAGGGTAGAGTTAATTTTAAAGGCATGACTGTTATATACGGAGGTATTAAATCTGGAGAAATTGAAAAATTGTAAATTTGTTCATTCTTGTGGCCAAAAAGTAACAGTCTAAAACAGCCATTTTGGCTCTTCCAAGCAATTTAGTCATTTTTGCTGTTGTGTTTTTTGTGGGTTTTTTTTTTTTTTAAAGTAGGTTATTGTTTATTTCCATTCTGTCTTTTTTGCCAGACTTACATCTGGGTGCTTGATACAATCAGTTGGTTAAATTTTGCTTGCAGTTCTGTATTTGTATTTTTTTTCCTTTATTTATTGTTTCCATTGCCATCCCAACCCTATGCTCTTTTGTGTTTAAGCTATCACCGCCTGTAATTCTTCTAAGAGCTGCCACTAAGTAACAGAAACCTGTCAGCACAGGAAGTGTCCCCCTCCTCACAGCGCCCCTCATTTTGAGTCTAAGGATTGATCTTTCATCTTGATAAGCAATATTCAAGTGCCTTGAACAGCATCTTCTCGGTGGGGTTTCACCTTCAGCTGGCTGGCGTTCCAAGCAGTGGCTCCCACAGGCAGCTGACCTCCTCTTTACGCTCCCATCAGTTTAAAAAGCTGATTTGTACCTCTCCCCTGGGGAAAACGGTTCCATGCAAAACACTAACACTTCATTACAAGCTCCATTATACCATTTTAAATGGCTTCTTTTTGTAATTGGAGGCAGTGGTCATAACTTAAGGTTTTTGCCATTACTTAGCTGGCTAAGTGGAGGCTCAGCGTAAAATCAGTGTTCGCGGCAGCCTCTTGCCCCCTGGTTCCTGCCCGCGCTCTCCCGTGGTGTCTGAGGTGCAGGGCTTGTGCGTTCTGGCCTGGACTCTTCCACCGCCCAGCTCCCAAGTGACTTCCCTTGAACCTCCAGATCAGTCAGGACGTCTATGATTTCTGTCCACCAGACCGCTTTTCTTGAGAAAGAATAACCACAGCCATTAGCTCAATTTAATTATTCTCAGAGCTGACCTGCCTGAGGAACATCACACCCCGGGGAGAGGTGGCTCATGGTCAGCACACTGCCCCGCGATGCAGGCTTGGGAGAAGTCTCCAGGAAATGCCAGGATCTTGACTCGGATGACTACTCTCAGACCCTGGGCATTGTATCTGGGAAAGTGGCTGAGGCACGAAGGTAACCATTGATGGCCTGCCTCCCTGTACTTCCAGTGCACAAATGCCTCCCTGCCCGGTTTCCTTCCTGATGGCATCTTTGCTTTCTCCCCGTTTAAAATCCATCCTGTCCCATGTGGACTTCCAGGTCTCCTGGTTGGTGGTCCAGACCCAGAGGGCTACGGAGCTCTGGGTTAATTTCCTCTGTGCACGAGCGTCCGCCACCCCGGGCCCTGCTGGCGAGCTCCAGGAGGAAGGGAACGCCCCGCCTGCCTCCTCAGCCAGGCACATCGGTCAAGGGCAAACCTAGCGGCAGGCAGGTTGTGCTTTAATCCACGGGAGCGCCCCAGTGCCGCTGACTCCCCTAAGATCAGGCAGCAGTCACGCTCTGAGAGACTAGAGTAAGAACCACCGGCATCTCGGGCTGCCAGAGGGTGCCTTCCCGGCTGCTGTTTCTCTTTCCTGAACTCTGTTCTTTCGTGCAGGAGTAATCAGTGAGTCCTACGGACGTTCTATGCAATGGTTTTCATTCCTCTGATTTTAGAAAAACAGACCTTACTGAAATAGCAGAGGAGCAGGGCGAGTGTGTGCACAGCCTGGGTGAGCACAACGTGGAACAGTGATAGTGACTCAGGGGAGCAGGAGCTGGGGGACCACAGCCTTTACCTTAAATGCACTATGACGGCCGCCTCTCAGCAGGCCTGGAAAAACAAGAGTCTGCTTGTGGCTCTCCCAAGCCCCTGCTTTTGGAGGCCAGAAAGCCAGCTGTGAGGGGAGGTGTAACCAGGCGAGGTCCTGGCATGGGGTGGGCTGTTTGCCGCATCCCTTCAGGCCAGAGGTTTGGCTCCTTCCCTGGACGCCCTCCCTTGTCACAGCCCTCACGTACCCCCGTCTACCTCACTAGCCTGTGCTCCCGTTTGACATCACTCCTCACCCACACCTCTCGGAACCGTGCAGCGAGTGGGCTGGGGGGAGAGAAAAAGGCTAGGAGGGTGGCATCCAGGATCTAGGCCTGGTGGGCAAGCATCTTCTCTCTCTCTTGTGAGCACAACATGTAGGCAGCTGTGCTCTGTGAGGCACATGGATTTTCCTCTTGACTTCCACCTGTTCTTAAAGATCTGTCAGCTGTTTCCTTGGCAGGCAGGGACAGTCTCAGGCCTCAAAGGGCCTTGTCTTTGGCCTGCCTTTTCTTTCTGCCCATTTCTGCTCAGCTGTTACGATCCATCACAGTCATTCTCCTTGCCCTGGGCTGCCCCTAAATGGCCACATGAGGACACTTCCCTGGGGTTCCTACCTGGCCTTGGGGAACTCTGCCTTTATTCTCTCTGGCTCTGGGAGGTTAGGACTTCAGCTCCACTGTCACACTCCTTTGGTAACACCTCAAAGACGGGAGAGGATATAGCATTCTCCAGCCCAGTCACCCCGTCTTCAGTCACGTGGCTCTTTTCTTCCCAAGAATATGCCAGCCTCCACCCAGTGCTAAAGGAAACCAGCTCCCAGGGCTGCTGGTTGGATGTGGATCCATCCTCCCTGGTGGCCAAAGTGTTCTCCTGATGGAAAGGATTTGGAAGTGGGAGCGTGAGATCTGTGCCGTCATCCTGTGCGTGAGCACTTACCAGTAAAAGCTCACGTGTAAAAATGCCCCCCGTCGCTCTGCAGTTTCACTTGGGCCTTGGTGTCCGGTGAGCCTTCACGACCCACAAGGCAGAGCTCCTGCCCTGAGCGGCAAGGTGGTGGCCTGGGACTCCACCGTGATGTAGTTCCATTTCCCAGTCCATTGGATGGCAGGCTGGCCAGCTCGCTTGCTTGCTTGCTAAGAGATTGGTCCAATTTGACAATACCATTCCCATTCCCATCAGTTTCTGCCTTTCCGTAGATGAAACCTACTGGGGGAAGAAAGGAAGAAACAAGTTCCCAAATAAAGTTCCAAAAAGATCCAGCTCTAAGACCTTAGAGTAATGGTCGTCAGCTAGTGGTCCGTGAGGGGTGCTGAAGCTGAGGCCAGAGGACAGGGTGTGGGGAGCAGCAGCTGAGCGAATGGGCCCCATCCCAGTGCTCCTGCCCCAGCACCCCAGCAGCCTGTGAGCCTCCTGCCTGGCCAGGGAATAAAGGGAAATGCAATCCCCCCTCACCAGACCCACTTGGCAGGAACTGCCCACTGCCCAGGCCGGGCTGCCACCTTCCCACCACCTCCTCCCTCCAAAGATCTGTGTCCACGCTGACAGTGGCATCATCTCCACTTTCGTTTTTGGATGAAGTGACATTTAGCTTTAACAAGACATTTCCAAAGCGCCTAGTCTCCTCAAAAATGCTGACTTTAAAAGTTGGTCATTGTAGACAAAGAACCCTAAAAAAGATTAATGAGAGAGAGACATTAGGCTATCCGTAAATGTGCGCTTTCCCCGTCCCCATCCCTAAACTTTTCAAACATCTTTGAGTTGCATTTATGGTCATTTTATCCAGTACTGTTAAGAAGTGTGGCCTGTGTTACTGTAATTTCTGTAGTGTTTAGGCTTTAGTTTCTAATCACAAAATATGCTATTTGCTATGTATCAAGCTTTCTGTGGTCAGAAAGGAAAGGTGCCTTATCTCCCAGTGTCACGGCTCCATCCCTATGGAAAAGAATCAGAAGCACAGTGTGAATGGAAGCGTTGGGACTTCCGTTGCTGAAACCAGACTCCCATCAGCCAGACACATGGAAGTGGCGCGGGGCTGCTTTTGTTCTATGGTTCCTTTTTCTCCTTTTTCTTTTTCCTTCTGTCTTTTTTTCTTTTTTCCTTTTTTTTATTTTTAGTTTGCTTTAAACAGAAAGCACTTAAATAGATGACTATATGTAAAAGCTCTGTGCAATAGAAATCACTTTTCTTCATTTTTAAGAGATAATGTATTGCACACCAAATGAACTCAAAGTAAGCTTTAGACCAAGACGATTCAGGTTGTGGATGAGTATGTTCACTGTAGTTCCGTTTATTCATGAACCGAAGGGAAACAGGCTTCCCTCCCCCCGCTCCTGGCCTGCCCATTGCTGACCACCAAGCTAGGCCTGCAGGGCGCTGGGCCAGAACCGCTGGCTGGGCAGGCGGCAGCATGGGGGTGTTTGTGACTCAGCAGCTGAGAACCTCCCTTCCAGCACTTAACCTTTTCTTGTTGAGATGGATTGACTGCTACTGACCTGCCAGCGTGCGTGAGGATAATTATAAAAGGATGTTTCCTTGAGGGGAAAAAAAAAAAAAAATTATTTCTATCCTCTTCTATTTATTATTAGGTTAATCATTTAAGTACTTATCAGGAGTATATTGTTGTTTTACGTTGTTGTTGTGTGTTGTTGTTGTTATAAATGCTTTTTGCTATCACTCCAGTGGTTACTGTCTTCTGCCTCCTGCCTCCCCATCCCACCCAAAAAAAAGAACCGAAGGGCCTGGGGGTTGGCGCGGGGCAGAGGGCGTCTCTCCAGCAGAATTAGGCGTCTGTCTCCAGAGCAGCCACTCAAAAGCTGGTGGCCCTCACGTGTCTTTGTAAATGAGAGTTGACGAACAAAAACCTACCCGTGCGAGGAAATGCCGAGTTGAAGAACACTGGTGTGAGGAGCTGCAGAGGAGACTTAGAGAAGCAAGATTGAGTTCCCAAAGCCTCCTAGAGCCTCTGTGCGGCTTCCGGGTTCATGAAGCTTCAGCGAGGAGCCCTGGGCAGAGGGCGCGGGGGCCTGGCCAAGGCCATGACTTCCGAGGGAGAGGGCGGTTTCCTGTAAGGCTCACGGGGGTTGACATGGTTCAGTTGGCTGTTGTTGCTGTTGCTGTTGTTGTTGCTGTTATTGTTGCTGTTTTTCTTGCATACGAATTTGGTCAAAACCATCTGTTGAAGCAACAATGCTCTTAGCTTGGCTGTGGCTTGAGGGCCCACACCAAGGAGGTCATGGGGGAGCCCCTCTCCCCCTTACTGTGGTTAAGTGTGCAGGGAAGTTAGATGTGGGCAGAGCTCTCTGAGGAAGAAGCACAGCCAACAAGACCCCCAGTTGCTTGCAGAGGGGTGTGAGGGCGAAGCGGGTCTGGCCTCGGGCCTGTGGGCTCACTGTCGTGGGCACAGGAGAAGGAAGCTCCCCCAGGCCGAAGCAGGGGGTGAAGGCACCTCGTGAGCTGCTGACCCCGCCTGGTGCCAGACCGCTGTCTGCTCCATCCACAACCCCGGCTCCCTCTCCACGCCATGACTTTTCCCCTTCTCTGAAGTCATTTGGAGGCCCTGGTTTTGTTCTCATCTCTCAAAGAAACCCTCCAATGAAACAGCTGTCCTCATCCCCTCCCCAAAGGGTTTCCACTTCTCTCTAATCAGTCTATGCATGTCTCTCTCTGGAGCCGTTTTCTGCCTCTTGAGAAAACGGGCATCTCATGTCCCGCCATCTGAGACCCTCAGAAAATGCTGTGCATTTTGGAGATGTGAGGATGCGTTCAAAATTCTTAAAGCATTTGAGATTAGCTTGTTATAGGGACAAGAAAAGGTTTTCCCACGTCCCTTTCCACTGAGTAAGACCTAGCTCTTTGCAATTGTGCAATAACTACTTGCCTGCGAGCGGGTAGCCACGCTCCTGTCCAGACTACTAACACAGCACAAGCCAGGCGCGCTCATGGAGTGGCGACTTCTTCCGGAGAATTCTTAATAAGCTCAGCCCCCGTGCCCCCTCTCCCCACCCAGTGTATCGTGGTGTCTTACATTTTAGCAGTATTTTATATTTTCTGTAACGCACTAAGTCTTAGATGTTTTTAGAGCTTGTTTGTTAATACTCACAATCACAGACTTTTTAAAAAAGATCCTCACAGAGACCCAATTGACCAAAAAGAAAACTTTTAAAAAGGCATCATTTATTTGTACAAATAGCTTTGAGAAGCCTCTGCTGTGTTGCTGTGACCCATCTCTGGTAACATTTTATTTCTTGCTATTTGTTTTCAACATTAAGAGTCAAAAGTTGCTCCGGCTGGCATGGGGGTGGGGGAGGCACCCGTCAGACCCTCGGCCTTGTCCCTTCTGTCTTTGGTTAGCCATACGATGTTTGTTCTCAGCACTGTACAACGGTCCCTATATGATATGGAGAAGCAATATCACTGTATGAAACTCACACCATGTATTATTATTCACTAGCACCCTAGGTGTGATAATTGAAGTAAATATCTTTTATACAAACACAAGAATGTGTGGGTCGTTTTTATTTGAAGTGCTCTGTCCTGAGAAGCAGCAAACACTGTCGTTCTGGTTCGGAAGGCACCTCGAGAATTGCCGGCCGAGGCAGCCCTTCCTCACCGTGTGGCGTGTGGCATCCTGACAGGTGTCGGCAGAAGCCTGGGCCTGGGCTGGATGCCAAGGCCCCGCTGTCCAGTTTCCCATGCAGACAGGGTACCTGCTCCATCATGGCCTTTGTCCCCTCGCTCGCTGTTGTCACCTGTATTGTTTGGATGCCCTTGACGCACTGGCCTTCCCAGCATCCACTCTCTTGTCTGTGAAGAGGCGGCCCGCCGTGCTGGTCCGGCACGAGGCTGACGGCAGCTCGGCTGTCCGAGGCCGCGGACAGGCCCCTCTGCCTGGCCGCCCCTCGCGCTGCGGGGCCTCGCGCTGCGTCCTTGGCCCCTGGTGTGAAGAAGGAGCAGCCGAGGGCACCTGTTAGTGCGAGCCAGGGAGTTCCCACTCGGGGAAAAAGGGAGCGGTGTCGTGTGGACTCCGGAAGGATCTGGCTCCTGAGAAGGGGGCTGGGCCTCCAGCAAGTTTCGGGCTGGAGGTGGGAGAGCTCTGAGAGTTGGCTGCTAGATGGTCCACATGCTTGTGGCAGCTGCTTCTCCTCTTGAGTTCTACAGGGTTGGGAGAGAGTGGCCATCCTTACTGACGTAGGACTGATAGGGAGGTGTTTGTTGGTTGTGCGTTAAGCTGTAGTTTTCAGAATGTGAAGCTCCTGTATGTGACACAGAAACGTGAGTAAAACGGGACTCGAACCTCCAGTGCGAGACCCCGGAGCCTGGGACAGTCTCTCCTCAGTGCCAGGTGCTCGGGCAGCCCCAGTTTCATCTGGGCACCCAAGGACAAGGGTGTGTCTAAAGCTGCCCCAAACCTCTGCCCCCTCCCCTCAGATGGGAGAATTAACGTAAAACCACTAGAGCTCTACCAGTCTGACAAAGTCAAGCCTAGCTCAGCTAACATTCTGCTATTTTTGTTTGCTAGTTTAGATATGCCCCAATTTTTATTTTTTTTAAATATATTTTATTGATTTTTTACAGAGAGGAAGAGAGAGGGACAGAGAGTTAGAAACATTGATGAGAGAGAAACATCAATCAGCTGCCTCCTGCACACCCCCTACTGGGGATGTGCCTGCAACCAAGGTACATGCCCTTGACCGGAATCAAATCTGGAACCTTTCATTCCGCAGGCCGACATTCTATCCACTGAGCCAAACCAGTTTTAGCAATGTCCCCCACCCCCACCCCACCCCCAAGTTTTAAAGATCCACTAGCTCAGTGGTCGGCAAACTGCAGCTCTCGAACCACCTGCAGCTCTTTGGCCCCTTGAGTGTGGCTCTTCCACAAAATACCACGGCCTGGGCGAGTCTGTTTTGAAGAAGTGGCGTTAGAAGAAGTTTAAATTTAAAAAATGTGGCTCTGAAAAGAAATTTCAATAGTTGTACTGTTGATATTTGGCTCTGTGGACTAATGAGTTTGCTGACCACTGCACTAGCTAAATTAAAATGTAAAAAACAAAACAGCACAAAGTCCTTCTACCCCTAAAGTCTCCCCACGTGCCTTTAAAGTGAGATTTAACTAAGCAAAATGGCAGTTGCACAAGGTTTTGTGGGCCTGGCTCTGCTTGTGAAACGGCCAGTTCCAGAGGCAGCAGGGGAAGCAAGATTTCACGTTGTGGCTGCAAGTGGGCAGTGTGTGTGACCTTTCTCCCGCCCTGTAGTTAAGTGGGTCTGAATGACATAATGTGCCTTATTTGATGCCCCGAGGAAACACAATTGCAGATGTACAGGGAATGGCAACAAGATGATATAATTATTGGTGGGAGGGGGGCGTCTGCCATGATCCTGTCTGTGTGTTTAAAAGGCCCTCAAGCCCTGGCCCGTTGGCTCCGTTGCTTATAGCATTGTCCCGTGCACCAAGAGATCGCAGGTTCAATTCCTGGTCAGGGCACTTACCCTAGGCAACCAATCAATGTTTCTCTCTCACACTGATGTTTCTCTTTCCCTCCCTTCTTTAAAATCAACAAACAGGCCAAAACCAGTTTGGCTCAGTGGATAGAGCGTTGGCCTGCGGACTGGACAGTCCCAGGTTCGATTCCGGTCAAAGGCATGTACCTTGATTGCGGGCACATCCCCAGTAGGAGGTGTGCAAGAGGCAGCTAATGGATGTTTCTCTCTCATCGACGTTTCTAACTTTCTATCCCTCTCTATTCGTCTCTATAAAAAAATCAATAAAATATATTTAAAAATAAATAAATAAAAATAAAATAAAATCAATTAACGGGTGAGGGTTTTAAAATCGGGGCCTCCAAGTGGCTGTCTTGGGACCTGGTTGCTTCCTCCGTGGCTCTTGGATGGCGGCTCAAGGGTCACTGCTTCCGCGTAGGCACAGCATCGGGTCCTGTAGGCGTGAGACCGGGCTGTGACGCTGGGGCGCGGTGGGGCTGGTCTTCAAGTTCTTGATGGGAGTCTGACCCACCCAGCGTGGAATGAGCTGCGTTCATGGAAGCGGGGGATACAGTCCAAGCCCAGTTTGGGGAGACATTCGTAAGTTCCTGCCTCTTCCAAGAAGCTTGGGTTCTCAGAATGTCGGTAGAATGCGCCTCCCCCCTCCCCCCCCAAGCAGAATGGTTTGTGGACGGGTAAAGCAGAGCTGCTCTGTTCGGGGCGCGGGGCGGGGTGCTCCGGGAGTTAGATTTGAGGACCCACTCACTGTGCCGGGGGCATCGGGCCATTCCTCGTGGTCAGGGGGCACTGTGTGGAGCTGGAGACCCAGCATCTTCTCTTACCCGCTGGTGTGACATCGGGCAAGTCTTAGATCATCCTCAGGAAACCTTTTCTGAAAGAATCAATGAATGTCACTTCTTTGAGCTTCTCTTTCCACCTCTAGCAAGGGAATATAACAATGCCAGAATCACAGGGCTGCTGAGACGACTGAGTGTACCCGCACCCCGCTCAGCACGGCGCCTGGGCCCACAGCAGGCACCCAGTGCATGTTTGGGGCTGTCGACCAGGGTGATAGACAGGGCATCCAATACGGCACATTGTTTGGTTGCTAGAGAGCTACCTGCAGTCAGAGTTGTTTCTTCCTTGGGCCAGAGCAGGAGGGGCCCCTGCTCAGGCCCGGCTCTCCGCAGGTCAGCCAGAGCGCCAGCAGCTGCCAGCCCCAGCTCGCCGGTGATGTACCAATGCCTGTGGTGTGCCAATCGGCACCCCAGCAGGGCAGCAGAGTCCTCCAGCGCCCGATGAAAACTCTAGTCTCAGTGTCCTTGAATGTCAGAGGCCACTGGACTCAGTCACAAACAGGAAGGAGGACCCTCCCTGCACCCACTCTTGTGGAAAGGGGGCTGCGCCCTCCACAGAGACCCCCCCTAACTTAAGCAACTGTCAAAGGTGATGCCCATCCAGTTAGAACCAAACCCAGAAGCCTCCCATGTTTGAGACAACTATCCTCTGGGGCCCTGGTTCCCAGCTGAAGGAGCCTATATCCCTGGGACTCTTGGCAATGCCTGGAGACGTTTGGGGCTGTCACAGTGGGTGGGGATGCTACTGGGAACTACAGCTGTGATTTTCAACTGGTGAACTGAAATAATTTTTAAAATCTCAGGGGCACTGACTACTTTTCCCTTAGATTGGCAATTTAAAATTTAAAGAAAGAAAAAATGAAAACAGCCAACACAGTAGCCGTCCTGTGTGACTGAATCAAAATTGTACTGTTGTTGTCTTTTTCTGTCAGATTGGCAAAGTATATATATATATATATATATATATATATATATATATATATATATATATATATTGTGTGTGTGTGTGTGTGTGTGTGCACCACAGAATTTCAGTAATTAGTTTATGTGTGCCATGAGATTTTTAAAAGTTGAAAATTGCTGCTCTAGAGGATGCCAAACACGCTGATAAACATCCTACGATGCATAGAGCAGTCCTCCCTCACCCATAAACAGTGGCCTGGCCGCGAACATCAATGGTGCTGAGTCCCCACATGGCAGAGCTCCTCTCCGATGCACTGAGGACTCTGAGCCAGCGATGTGCTCCAAGCCGGGTGTCCAGTGGCCTCAAGTGGCTCACAGCCCACAGGGGAGACGGATCAGGTGCTGAACCACAGCCTAGGCTGGTCTTGTCATTGGTACTGAGGGGCCTCTGAGGGGCAACTTGGGAAAGGGCAGATTTCCCAGGGAGCGGCCTTGAACAGGAGGAGGCACTCCGGTAAGCAGGCCCGGAAGTGCATGGCCTGCAGGGGCGGCAGTGCACAGGCGCCGGTGTCGGAGGGACAGCAGCGCTGTGCTGGGGAAGGGGCGGGGGCGGGGGGAGGGGTAACCGCGGGGATGAACACAGCCGGTCCGGACGTGAGCCGGCTCTAGGTGAGGCTGTTCTCTCCACCGACATCTCGAGGACTCGGACTCGGGTGCCGCTGGGAGCCTCTGCAGCCATGCTGGGGTGCAGGGCTCCCCGCTGGGGAGAAAGTGTCCCCATCCCCTCCACCAAGTGTGCACACATTAACAAGGTGCGGGGTCACCCTGGAGCTTCGTACTGGCACATGTGCAGCTCCAATGCCAGGGCCAGTTGGTACCCGTTAAGTTTGAGTTGCTCATTGGGCTGTCCT